TTTAATATTTTTAGTTTTTTTTAAATTAATAATATTTTTTATATAGTTTTAATTTTACTTAATTTTAAATCTAATTGTTTTGTTTAAATTAAGTTCTAACAGTTTTTTTTCTAAATCCATTAGTTATATACAAAAAAGTCAAAATACGTAATAATTTGTAAAATTGTCGAAATTGTCATATTTACTGATTCATTTAATAAATCAGTAAAACAATTATTTTTTCAAGTTTTGAACATATTTTTTTCTTTATGAGATTTATTTAAAGCTTTTTGGCTTTATTATTATTATATTTTTAGCATTATTTCTATTTTATAATAAGAATAAAAATTTAATGTTTAATTAATTTAATATTAATTGTATCAAAAAGCCATTAATTTTTTAATAAAAAAATGTGCTGTCATCATTCTGTTGACTTTTTCAAATAATTTAATATACAAGAATACAATTTATATTATATAGTTAAAATAATGTTAAAGAAAACTTTGGAAATAATTTAAATTTATAACTCCATATTTTAATGTTAAAAATCTATTATAGAAAAATTAGTCATACCAGTATCACCTTGAAGTTAATAAATTTTTCTTTGGAAATAATGTTAGTACATAATGTTTTTATAAAAAAAAATTTTACAAATTAATGCTATAAATATTTGTAAATAATTATTCACTTAACTATTTACTATAATCTTTATAACATTTATAATCAATGACTTAACTACAAAACTTTTAACTGAGAATAATAAATTATTCTTCAGTAACTATATAAAAACCCCTCAGGGGGGTGCTAAGTAATTAGCACTACGGGTTTGGCGAACCCGGGGCCCCGAGCTCTGAGCTGGCCTTAATTGGTTGGCTCTGTCTGGTCCTCCAGGTTGGGGGTTTGGCGACGGGCTAACAACCCGTCACTGTAAAAAACTCTACTGTTAAGAAACCAAAACTAAAGCCTCGGGACAGAGATTTGGATAAAACACAATGGAAACGGCCCGGACTACAAGGATTTAGGATTGGCACATGGAACGTAAGAACTTTATATAAAGCAGGAGCTCTTGGTACACTAGTCGATGCAATAAATAGATATAAGGCAAATTTAGTAGCGCTACAAGAAACGAGATGGCAAGGAGAAGGATGTATACCAACAGGTAACATGACATTATACTATGGTGGTCTAACGGCTAATAAGCGTGAAAATGGGGTGGGTTTTCTCGTGCACAATAGTCTAATACCATGGATTAAGCAATTTAAGGCTATAAATGACCGAATATGTTACATTCGGATCAATATGAACCACCGGGACATGGTAATAATTTGCGCATACGCACCAACCGAATCAGGAAATGAAGAAGCAAAAGATGCCTTTTATGAAGAGTTGGAACAAGTATATGACGCCTTACCAGGCCATTGCATTAAATTATTATTGGGAGATCTGAACGCCCAAGTGGGAAAAGAAAATGCTTACAAAGCGACGATTGGAAAACATAGTCTACACGACCAAAGCAATGATAACGGAATAAGATTAATTAATTTTGCAATAAGTAAAAATATGGTAATAAGCAGTACAAGATTTCCAAGGAAAAATATTCATAAAGAAACATGGTTATCTCCAGGAGGAAGATATAGTAGCCAAATTGATCATGCCCTCATAGAAAATAAATATAAGACGATTATAAAAAACGTCAAAAGCTACAGAGGAGCAGACGCAGACACAGATCATTACTTGATCCTGATTGACTTCAGAGTAAAGATATCCATGGAATGGAAAAAGAAACAAAAAATACTCGGAAAATACGATGTGGATAAATTAAGAAATGAAGAAACATTACGGACATTTCAAGAAACAGTGACTAATGTATTAGGAAAAAAAAGAGAGGGAGTAGATAATGAACAGGTTGAGGAGTCATGGAAAGTAATAAAAACCTCCATAACCGAATCCGCAGAAAAAGTCATTCAACATACACAAAGAAAGAAAACAAAGAAATGGTTTAATGACAATTGCAAGAAAGGAATCAAGGAACGCAATGAAGCCAGAATCAAAGCTATCCACACACCAACCCCCAAGAACTTAAGGGACTTCCAGGAAAAACGAAGAGAAATAACTACACTGTAAATAAAAACTTTCACTTTATACAAAATGTTTTAACTAAACCTCTTTGGACATATGGAGTTTAATATCCACATCAGCAAAAAAAACGAACTTAAATAAAATTCAAACTATACAGAATAAGATACTTAGACTAGTTACAAATGCACCACCTTACGTTTCAAACTATTCCTTACATTCAGACTTACAACTAAAGGCAGTTTGCTGGTTACCAAGGAACAATACATTCGATACCACCACACCCTTTTTAACTATTGTAATTCCCTAGTAAAGGATCGTACTTTACCCACAATGCCTGACAATTCTCTCAGAAGACTAAAAATGAAGTGGTGTAGAGATCTTCTTATCCCACAAAAATTAAAAAAAATAAATAATATTAATAATAAACAAACTACTAAATAATATCACTTCAAAAAAAGTGTGGTTGGTGGACAGCTTCTTTTCTCAAAATAATAAAGTCAGAAAAATCATTGCCATCTTTTATACTTATAGTACTAATATTGTAAAACTCAAATAAAGAAAAAAAAAAACACAGTTTTTAGATACTCATAAATCTTATAATTTTATTTTATTCTTTTTTAAAATTTTATCATCAAAAATATATAATAAACCAATCGCTTAAGATTATATTTAAATTTAATCCATTAGTATTTTTTGAATGCATTATTAAAAAAAATAATTAATTTTAGAGATACTGGAAATATTTTCTTACGATCAATATTAAAATACTATAAAGTATTATATAACCCAACCTTTTAAGATGTTTGCATTATATTGTATGTAACTATAGAATAATATTAGCTGTTGATTATAAAAATTGACTAAATTAAAATTTAAAGTTTCTAATTTAGTTTTATTAAGTTCATTAAGATTATTTATAACGTGAGTGAATATTTTTTTCTGTGGCATCTTTACCAAAAACATACAGTACTCAAAACGATTGAAATAATTTGTCCTTTGGTTACTGAATTTTTGTTTATTTTCTACTAATTTTGGAGATTGGTTATATTCATTATAAATTAAAATAATCTCATTAATAGGTTCTCTTCGTAAACGGTAATAATTAAATATTTCTGATAGAAAATTGAAAAATTTTGAGGCCTCATTAAAATGATGCCTAAAATCATTGGCTTCTTTTGGCATGATTTTTATCGCTTGTGCTGTGAATAGACAATAGTGAACTAACGTTGTAATTCCAATGCTTTCAATAACATTTCTAAGCCAAAGGATGGCTTCCATTGGATCTTCATATTCTTGTATAGCACTTTTCGTAACTTCTTCTAAGGTTCTTCCATCAACAGGCGTACGGTATGATAAATGAGGTGCTGTACCTTGATAAGGTTTATCTAAAGGCACAGGAATATGAATATCGTAATTTAGGTAAAATTTGTTAAAAGATTTGACATTTACTTTATCACTAGTATACACACTTCCAGTCTGCATTTGGTAACGTAACAATGTCTTGTGTTTAATTATATGTGCTATGGCAACATCAACAGTTATATTATCCATATCAATTTGCACGCACGTAAAGATTTTAGCTAAACAAATTAACAACAATGCATAACTAATTAAAACCATATCGAAGAAAATTACATAAAACTATGAGTGAAAATCTAATATAGATGTACCGAAGAAAAATAGTTATTGAATATATTTTTTGACGTACATGGGTTTTTATATTATGAAAGAACTGTAAATTAAATGAAGTAATAATAAATTTTAACATAATTACAAAATCAAATAAACTGTTTTTATATTTTTCTGTAAATAAAAATACTAATAATATATTTTTCATTGATTAAAGTTAGCAAATATTAATTTATATTTGAGTGCAAAAATGACTAATTTATATGCGTTTCATTTATACATTTCAAGAAGTAATTTGTAAAAACGCAAAAAAAAATAACAAATAGAATAATGAATTTAGCTAGGTATTAAGTTTTCTTCATTCTTTTTTTTTTTTTTTAATTTTTTTGACCACATACTTTAGAGAAGACTAGTAGTTTAATTACTTCACAAATAAAAAAAATCGTGTTGAATAAAAATTGGATTATTTAATGAATAAATAGTTTCTGAAAAAGTAAAGAAAAATATTAAACAAATTCTTCACCAATTGTTGAAATAATATATCAAATCATATAAAACATAATCAATAATAATATAATCAAAATAAATTAAAATCTGTGATAATGCTATTTTACTTTTACTTAAATTTATAAATATTATTACCCATGAAATATCTCCTAAAACACAAACACCACGTCTATGTCACCAAAAACCCTAATTAGTATGTTTTCAATAAGATCGGTCGCATCCTTCATTATGTTACATGTTTAATAGGGTTGCTACCACCGTCTATAGACCTGAGGAAAGAGAGGAAAATGTGCAGGCAAGATTAACGCGACAATTTTAAATTTTATATGTGACGCATATACTAAGAGTTTTGTATTTATTTCATGTGCCTGTGTAACTGTGCCGAATGACTTTTATAAATATGGCTCTTAAATTATTTTAAAATATATTGTTTGGTAAACTGAACTGATGAAGTTAATAACATAGCTTTGAAATTTGAAACAGCTTAAATTGCCATTGTTTTGAGTCTACGGAAGCGACGTACGATTGTCGAGTCGGTAAAATTTGTGTCCATACGCCAAATTTTATAATACGCTCAATTGAGTAATTTTTTTTAACAACTTTGTTTTGATTGATTTTTTTAGTTAAAGTAAATTATTAAAATTAATTAACTTCTGAACATTTCAATTGTAGAATCTTTTTAAACACCAAAAGCTACTAGGATATGATTACTATTATTTTTATTTCAGTTATCTATTACGTTAAAGATGCAAAAAAATATTGAGCTTTTCTGATAAATTTACTATAAATAGTAATTATAAATTTTTCTGACTGTATATTAATTTTAACAATACAATTTTTTTAATTCTCATAAATTTTTTTATCTAATGATATTAATTTCAAACTTGCAAATTGAGCTAACAGTTATTGTAATAAATTAATTTTTTTTTTTATTATAAACTTTCGCAGAAATCAACTTTTAAGGATTAACAAAATAGGTTAAATATATCATTTTCCTTATTTTTAACATATTAATAATCAAAATCAGTATTAATTTGAAACAATTTTTTTTTTGTTCTTAATTATTTGTTTTTATATGTAAATACTTATTTTTTAATTATAAGTAATAATATTAAAACATAGAAGTGATAGAAAAAGTTTAATTGCATATTTGAAAATATCGAGAAAAGTTGATCTAGAAAAGTACATTTTTGTTTCTGATAAAAGTTCCATATAATCCAGTGTATAAAACTTACTTTATTATAAAAACTAACATTTTTTATTGTAAAGAATAACAAACACGAATATTTTGTTATCATTGATGTACTTAAATAAACTTTATAAATGTCTTGAAACGTATATATTTTTATATAAAAACAGGTGTCAATGAAATCAATTAAAGGGGTTGTAGAAGTGGATTATAATTGAACCTATGCTGCAGCAAAGGTGTAATTTCAAATTTTCCATATGGGTATGATATGGGAACCCGGTTTAATCGTCTATTATTTTTACAGTTTAATTTTAAAATTTATTTTGGTTTAGCTTTCAAAGCAATTAATGAATAAATTAATGCAGTCATCTCCTACTAACATATTTATTGTTAACTTGGCTGTGGCTAATTTTCTTGTTGTTGTAGTATGCATAGCATTTAACTTATACAATACTTATAATTTACTTATACAATAAGCATTACAACATGTACGTTAATTTGAAGTTGTTTAAACTGTTATTAACAATTAAAAAGTAATATTTTCTGGATGAAACATAATTTTAATTAAAAATAAATGGTGAAACTATATTTTTGTTTATAAATTAGATCCATTTAAGTTTAATTAATTAGTTAGATTAATTGTTATTAAATAACATTCATTTTAAAATAATTGTTATATAAATCATAAGAAAAGCTCTCGACAAGAATTATATAATCTTATTACCGCAGCATTACCCAATTGAAATTAAATAATTTGTTATTTACTTATTAATAATTAAAAAGTTAAGTAATTACTCAATTCAGTTAAAAAAAAATACATATTTTAAACTCTAGATTTAAAATTTGTAGAATATCTCTAGTACGAATGATAAAGCGAGTTCAACAAACGGCATAAGAAACACAAGTGAGGCTCTTGCAAAATTTTAGAGCCAATTTAAAGGACTCTAAATATAATTCTTACCTGAAATTTTTCCTACCCCCCAAACCTCATAGCTAATCACCGACCATGTTACGCACGGTCATTAATGAGGGCATTTTGAAAAGCCATTAACATATACTCGTTAATACTAAATACTTGCGACAATATATGTTTGCGTATGTTACCTGATTAGCAGTGGAATTTGACTCAATATCAAAAAAATGTAGCTGCAAATAATATTGCAGTGTAAATATCTTTATAACTATATTATTAAACTCTAAGTTTTTAAATAGACGATATTAAACGTAATATGTATAATGACGAAAACCATCAACCCAGTTAACGCCTCTCGTATAACGCTCCAGAAGAAACATTTTGAAGAAAATGGACACAAATACAACTTTTCAGGACTTACTATGCCTTTGCCTCTTGAAGAAATTACAAAATTTCAAAAACAGAACAACAACGTATCAGTAAACGTCTATGGACTGAAAAAAGGTATTACAACATACAAAAATAGAACAAAGAAAAATCGATCACAAGTAGAAAAAAACATTGTAATTCCTTTAAGAGTGTGCAAGGATGAAAAACCCGATCATTTCGATCTTTTAATGATTTCAAACGAGGCTGGCCAGAGACATTATTGTTACATAACCGATCTGGCTAAGCTGGTACGATCATCGATGACGTCATTTTGTTCTAAAACTGTTATATGTAGAAGATGCTTTAAAACTTACATTTCCAAGCCAGGAAAACCCAGCAAAGAAGAACTTCTACGTCAACACAAAGAGCGTTGTAGAGTTAACGAGCCTATAACACCAGTTATGCCTGAGTCTAACACAACAACCAAATTTGAAAACTGAGCCAATACTGAACGGCATCCTGTTCCCATTTACGCGGATTTTGAAGCTGTTTTGTTCAAACACGACTCTGAAGAATTGCATAATACCTAAATAACTCATGACCATGAACCCATGAGCTACTGTTATTATGTTAAGGCTAAAGAAGACATACCAATTACATTACTACACCAGTTTTCAATTCCAACGTCTCCAGTGTTGTACAGAGGGGACGATCTTGGAGAAAAGGGTGCGGTGGCTAAACATTTTGTTCAAGAAATTGTTAAAGTAGCTCGAAATATATCGGAAATGTTACAAGTCAACATGCCAATGACTTTTAAGCATGCTGACGCGAAAAAACATAACGATATAGTAAAACGGGGTTCGTGTCCTTTATACTCTAAAAAATTCTCTACAAACAATCTACCAGTGCGTGATCATGATCATTTAACTTCTAAATATCAACAGACAATATGTAATGAGTGTTATTTAAATTTAAAATCTCCTAAATTCGTGCCATGTTTTTTTCATAACTTATCAAATTATGACAGTCATTTCATTGTAACACAGCTAGGATATGATGATAAACCGATAAATGTTATACCTAACACCGAAGAAAAATTTATTTCATTTTCAAAGTATGTTACTAAAGATTTTAAAATAAGATTTGTAGACAGCAACAGATTTATGGCATCTAGTTTGGCAAAACTAACCGAAAATTTGGCTAAAGGGGATGTTGAAAAATTCAAAGAGACAGCAAAACATTTTCCTCAAACAGATATAGGTCTTATTACTCGTAAAGGTGTTTACCCCTACGAGTATACAGACTCCTTTGAAAAATTAAATGAAACATCGCTGCCATCCATTAACGAGTTTTATAGTTCTCTGAATGAGAGCCATATAACAGAAGAGGATTATAAACACGCCCAAAAAGTTTGGGATCATTTTGAATGTACAACGTTGGGGTAATATAGTGACTGGTATTTGAAATTGGATGTGTTGTTGTTATGTGATGTATTTGAATCTTTTAGAGACATCTGTTTAAAAACGTATGGATTAGATCCTAATTATTATTACACCGCACCGGACATGTCTTTTGACTGTATGTTAAAGCATACAAAGATCGAGTTGGAACTCTGAAATGACTACGATATGCTTATGATGTTAGAGCAGGGTATTAGAGGGGGTTTAACAACTGCAGTTCGCAGATACTCTGAAGCTAATCACATAGGACTTCCTGGTTATGATGATACTAAGCCGGATAACTGGATTGTTTATCTCGATGCTACAAATTTGTGAGTAAAATTGATTTTTTTTTTTTAAATTTTATATAATAGTTTTACTATAATATATAATTATTATTATTTTTTTTTTATAATACTTTCAGATATGGATGGTCAATGTCGCAATACTTGCCTAAAGATGGGTTTAAATGGAGCGAAAAAAATTTAAGTGTTCCGGCAGTTTTAAAGAGATTGGAAGAAACACCAGCTGATTCGTGTAAAGGGATGATATTAGAAGTTGATGTTTCTTATCCGACGCAATTGTATTGATAATCATAATCATAATGATTTACCATATTTACCTGATAAAAAAATACCATCTGGATCTAAATTTCCCAAACTTTTAGCCACATTGGAAAATAAAAAAAAATATATTGTACACTATAAATCTTTAAAGCAAGCGTTACAGGCAGGATTAGTTTTAGAAAAAGTACACCGTATTATTGAATTTAATCAATCACCTTGGCTCGCAAGTTACATTTCTCTGAATACAAGGATGAGGGCGATGGCGAAAAATACTTTTGAAAAAGATTTTTACAAACTTATGAACAATTCCGTGTTTGGTGCGTTTATTTTTTCATATATTTATTATTATATACTTAACGATTATTATTTTGTAATTAAATATACATAATATTTTAGGTAAAACGATGGAGAACGTTCGCCTAAGATTGAAAATGGAACTTACGAGCAGCGAGGCAAGATACAGAAAACTTGTCAATTTACCAAACCATAAAGGCACAACAATATATGGTGACAACTTGTGTGCTGTACATTTACATAAAGACGATTTAGTTTTTGATAAGCCCATGTACATAGGATTTGCCGTTTTAGACATATCTAAAACTCTAATGTATGATTTTCACTACGGTACCATGAAAGCGTTATATGGAGAAAACATTGAACTCCTATACATGGACACTGGTAAATTCACATTTTTATTTGTTTATTTTTATTTTTGTGTAATTAAATCTTATGTTTTAGATTCATTGATATACCTGGTGAAAACAAAAAATTTTTATGAGGATATGGAACATAATCGAGGNATTTTATGAAGATATGGAACATAATCGAGGGTTTTTGGAAAAACTGGATACTTCAAACTATCCAGTTAACCATCCATGTTACCGTACAGAGCGTTGCAAGATTCCCGGCACTTTCACAGACGAGACTGGTGGAGAGTTTATTTCAGCACATGTTGCTCCAAGATCTAAAGCATACGGTTTTATTCAAAATACTAAAGAAATTATCAAAGCCAAAGGCGTGGCCCATCTGCCGTAAAAAACCATATAATATTTGAAAATTATAAACAGTGTCTTTTTCAGGGAATAATCGATTTACCCGAAGATTATACTCCTTATAGAGAAATGCGATCCTTTAGATCGTACAAACACCAAATTAAGTCGATTGATAGCACAAAACTAGCGTTAAATAGATACGACGATAAGAGGGTTGTGTTAAAGGATCAAATTCATACATTAGCACATGGACACTACAACATTGAGTGAGTTTGACAATCTTTATTAGCACTGTAATCAGGGATTCGGAACGGAACAAATATATTGTTCCGGAACGTGAAATTTCGTTCTGTTCCGAGATTGCTCCGGAACGGAACTCTTCCTAAAAATCGTTCCGACCATTTGTTTCGGAACGGAACTATTAGTAAAATTTGTTCTGGTCAGTTGGAACATTGGATATAATTGAAATTGTTGGGGAATTAATTATTTAAATTTAAATTATTTTTATTGTCTAATAAAAAATCAGCTACTAAAAGGACGGATAATCCGTCTAGATGCCCTCGAATAGAATGTATGCTGTCAACTCTCATTCGTGACAAGTTTACTTTCTAATGTTACAAAAAAATCAACTTCCTGCAAATTTCTGATCAGTAGATATTTTTATTGTATTTGCATTGTTATTTACGTGTCAAAATCATAGAGTAACTCTATGGTAAAAATGACACGGTAANCAAAATCATAGAATAACTCTATGGTAAAAATGACACGGTAAAATTAAAATTTAAGTTCTATCACTCGTCAATAATAATATTGTTTTTATAAATTCAGAAAAGCGACTGCTAAAATAAATCTAGTTATAGCAATGCAATACGTTAAAATAATTGAATAGGCCGAATATAACGCTCTCCAGTTAAATCACTTAAGTACAAAGATCTGAATCCGTATGAGGCTCACCTCTATATAAAAGATAAAAATTTAATAGTAGATTAATATAAAAAAATATAATAATTATTTAAATGTGATTAATAAATATTAGAGGGGTGAAAATAAATAGGAACATTCCAAAGCATTTTTGTGAAACAATTTGTAGCTAGCATTCTGTTCCGGAGCAAATGGTCGGAACGATTTTTAGGCAAAGTTCTGTTCCGGAGCAAATGGCCGGAACGATTTTTAGGAAGAGTTCCGTTCCGGAGCAAATGGGCGGAACGATTTTTAGGCAAAGTTCCGTTCCGGAGCAAATATTGGAACGGAACAAAATTTGCTCCGTTCCGAATCCCTGACTGTAATATACATACATATTAATTTACAAATTTAATTTTAGGAGTTTGAAAAATCAAGGCGGATTGGCAAATTTCTGTATTTAATCATGTTAAAAATAGCTCATTTATTTAGAGCTTTTTCTAAAATATGTTAATTAAACTTAATTTACTTCTGTTTATGTAAATAAATAACTGCCACGTTATGTAATTATATTAAACACAACCCAAACGATTACTTATTAGCTCAAATAATAGTGCACGTGTATATTTTAGCTAATTAAAGTAAATACTTTCAATTAGAAAACATTAATAACTTATACTCGTTAGCGAAAATAATTATTTGTTTGTGTTACTCAACTATCGAATAGAATTTGACTCAATATCAAAAATGTAGTTGCAAATAATATTGCACTGTAAATATCTTTATAAATATATTATTAAACTCTAAGTTTAAAATAAACGATATTAAACGTAATATCACTGTTAGTCTAATCCATTCTATTAAACTACTTATTAAGGGGCATGAATTGAGGAAAGTCAATTTTTTTATGTTGTACACACTTTACACATGTAGTCATGTTTAGGTAGCGTTGGGTTAAACGCCTCCGTCATCACCACTAACGTTGACGCTTCCGTCGTCACCGTTTTAATTATCATTGCTCTAATGTCTTTTTGTATTTTAAATTTTGACTTTAACTACTTATTTGTGAGTGCGTGGAAATAAATAAAATCATTAAGTAATTTTTCAAAATAGACCTTTTGTTGGGTTAAAATACCGCCGCTCTAATGACATTTCATATTTCACTGTGAAATTGTGTCAGAACATATATTTATTATCTACTTATAAGAACACAGATATATCCTACATTTTTTGTAAATTACCATAGCCTCTATATGCGCCTATCCAAATAAATGTACTGAATTATTGGAATAAATTTCACTTCACTTTAGACATATCAAAATTTATTTGGATTTTCACCCACAAAAAAATATGGAATACCTAAATTATAATATACGAGAAATTTAGTGTTTAGATAAAAAAAAAGTGTGTAGTAATGTAATTTTTATAAAAATTATTTGACTATGTGAATTTAAAAAAAAACATTCTGTTCTTATATTAAAGATACCTTTAAAATTATCACAATTCATTAGCCTTATAAAATAATAGTAAAATAACTGTGAATGTATCAATTTATTTAAGATACATTGAATAAATGACTTTTCCATAGCAAATGTTAAAACTCGTACATGCGACATATCTTTCTGAAAATGTTAGCATAGTGCAGCCAGTTTTTTTTACATTTGCAAATTTATAGCGCGTACTAGTGACATAACTATCTCGATATATCAAACTATGTACAGCCCGCTATTTTTATATTATAAGATTAAAGTCATCATTTGTTTTGAAAGTGTAACATAAATTAAAACAAACTTTCATATATCAAAATGACTTTTTATAGGCTGTTCTCAAATCAAATTCATATATATATATATTACAATATACTTTATATATGTATATACAGGTTATGATAAAAAAAGAGGTATCATAATGAAAGAACCAACTTTTTTGTTTAAATTTCATATAGTCAAATAAAATTTTCAATCAATTAATGCACATCATTTTTATTTATCTAAGATATCAAATCTCGTATATAATATTATGTGTATTAGATATTTTTTTGTGGGGGATAAAAAGTATAATGTAGTCTAAACTGAAGTGAAGTATATTCCAAAAAAAAAAAAAATATAGTTAGTTGTATAAGCAACTATAAACTATGTGATATTGAACTTAAGATACGGTCTGCCAGGCGCGACGTGTCGCGGCGACTTATTATCAATATCTGTTTTTATAGAAATTGTATAATCTGGTCTGCAAGACGCGACATATTAACTTTTGGTCGCCGCAACCGACGACTTACTGCAAGACTTGCTGCAAGAGCAGTATACGCGCGACACTATGTCAAAATTAGTATTTTCATCGTCTGATGACGAAATATTAATTCAAGAAGTTGAAAATAACCCTATATTATATAATATAGCTGCTACGGATTATAAAAATATTATAATTAAGGACACAATTTGGAAAGAAATATCGGCAAAAATTGGAAAATCTGGTAAATAATATAATAAATAATTTTCATTACATTTATTCAAGTACATAAAATAATTCTGAAAGCTTCATCACCAACAATTACATGGGGCGCTACTTTGCCTGATCCAGGAAGTTGACACTCTTCTGGAAATCCAAATGTCCCATTTTAAATTTTCTGTCCACTATTTGACTTCAAAAAAATGCCACTATCGCCTTCTTTACCAAAAGAACCAATGTACACAGCAATAAATTTATTATTCGCATCCACCATTGCCAGAAGTACAATTGAAAAAAAATCTTTATAGTTATGAAATAATGACCCAGAATTGCTTGGACTTCGTATACGGTCATGTTTTCCATCAATTGCTAAAATACAATTTGGGAAAATCCACTTGTACGAAAATTCTGCGGATTATTGTTTATAATCAATATTTTTTGAATACGGCAAAAATATGGGCACCAATTTAATTTTCAATTCAGCTAGTGTTTTTTTTATAATTATGCTTAAATAGTTATGACTGATACGAAAAGCGAATGCTAATGATCTCAATAATTCACCAGTGGCATGATACCTATTTAAAAAGAATTCAAAATTAATTACTACCGTAAATACTGTTAATACGCCACTGGTAGGTATAGATACAATTTATAAAATATTAAATTAATTATAAATACCTTAAAGTAACTGCTAATTTTTCTGCCGGCGATATAGGATTTTTAACTCGATTGTTAGGTGGTAAAGTTAATTTTTCTTCCACCAAAGATAGTAAAAAATTTAATTGTTCATAATTAATTCGGAAATATTCCCGAAACCTAACGTGATTGCTTGTTAAATGTCGATTAATTAATATTTCAAAAAATCCTTCACTTTCGCGATTTTTAAAGATATTGTCCATTGTTTTTCTTTTCTTTGGCGTTAAATAAGATAATAATCTAGCCTCATCGTCTTCCTCATCCATTAAGAGGAGACTTATAATATTATTATTATTAAAAATAAATCTATCCATTGTATAAGATTTTTTTTAGAATACTCGCGTAATGCGTACTTGAAGAGATATTAAACTGAAATGACAATATTACTTTTTGTGAAGACCACAACAACGGTCGCGCCTGGCAGACCGTACCTTTACAGAAAATGTAGGATACAATGTGTTCTTAAATAAAAATATTTTTTAGGATGAGAATATAAAAATAACACTCACTGAAATTTTATTCAATACGTGTCTATAGAAAAGTTCCGGCCAAATGGAAAATCTGTTTAGATTTAAATTTAACGGTGATTAAAACCACTATTGTAAGTCATTCCAATGCAAATTTCAATACCGTTTATAATTTAACGTATATTCCATGAAATATTAAATACTTGCAAATATGATTTATAATTTATAATATAAAGAAGAAGAAGAAAATTATTTTTATTAAAAAGTACTAAAAAATCAAAATTTTCTAAATTGACTAAGAAAATGTCGAATTCTATTAAAAGTTATTTGTTTCCATGATAATTGTAACTTTGAATAATCAAAAATACTTTACTATTATAATAATAACGATTAACCGGTAAATATATTATAAAAATTATTGTAATTTGATAGCAAAGACAATATTGTAAATATTGGTTTCTATCATCAAATGTATATCGCTTTTTCTTTCTTTTTTAGTAACATTTTTATCATTACACAAATATAAAATTAAAAGAAAATGGATTATACATTTATATTAACTCAACAATTTAATGTTTTATATTTAATAAACGAATAAAATTATGTTAAAAATTTAAATGCCATTTAATATTAAAACAATACTTCATTTAAATTCATTCAAAATATGTGTTCTCATTTGAAAAAACAATGTTTACACCCATACAAGGCATAAGGGATGGACTTAAAAATTATTACATAGTTAATAATTCTAGAGTACAAATATAGAATAATAATAATACATTTTGGTTAATTATATCAGCCAAATTTAATAATTAGACATCATTCTAACCTTAATTTCGATCTAATATTTCTTACAACTTTTCTGAATTTCAATTTAATTAAATTAAGTATTATTGAAAGGTTTATCATAGTAAAAAAACCATATGATAAATTTATTATTATTAAAAGTTTATAGAAAAACATTATAACTATAGATAATTAAAGAAATAAATGTATATAATGAAAGCTAAAAGTTGACTCTCAATATTTTTTCCAAAAGAAATAGAATGGCTAACATTAAATCTGAGAGATAATTTATCAATTTTATAAAATATATTTGGAAAAAAAAAGTTAGCCATTACAGTAAATACTATGCATATTATAAAAAAAAAATCTTGATTTCATATTAAATACTAATCACATTATGTAAATGTCACAAAAATTATCACCCTGTTCCTAGAACTTAGTAATGTCCAAACTTCTTTATAACTTCAAATATTATTAATATGAAAAAATTAATTAAAACTCATTTAATATATATATATAATTTTACAAAAATTGTTTTTTTAATAATAATAATTATTGGAACAAATGCATTTTACCACCCCATCGAGTTTTTTCATTTTTTTTTTTTAAACATGTATTTTTCAATGCTTTTTTCAAAAGTGTTTGAAAAAATTGGTTTAAAAGTTATAGCTTTTTAAAGTTGAAACGTCAAAAACTAAAAATAGCTCAAAAATTGTTTTTTTTTTTTGTTAATTTTTGGGATTTTTTCTCATGATACTATTGTGAAACTATAATGACGTAATTATTACATAATATCCTCATTCTAAAAATCCTAAAACCAAAATTATCTTTAAAAATAAGGATTTTCCAAATTTTTTTTTCAAAACTACGCACATCAAATTTACGCAATACGAAATAAAAATAACAAGAAACTCAATTAATTCAATTTGAGCAAAAAAAAAAAAAAGACCACGATGTGGTGTTTTACATAGAATTGTTAATTCAATAAAATAAAAGTTTTTACTGTTTATTATGTACACCAATTAACACTTGTTGTAAACAAAAAAAAAATACTATTACATTAGATATTGTTGATATTAGTTAAGTTGTTGAGGTATCAAAATATACTTACTAATATCTTAATGTTATAATGTTGAGTTATACAAACCCATTTAAATATAAGTTGTGGTCACCTACGCCTGCCGGCTCCGGTGACCGATTCGAGCCCCTTCGGGACTCTCATGGGATGGGGGCTTACGCCCCCAAACCCCCAGAGGATAGAAGTCAAGCCCAAACCCAACCTATTTAAACCCATTCGACTGAAATTCTCAGTGACCCAACAAGTATATAACCTTGATGTTAAAATGATGATATAATATTGAAAAAATAGATCAAAAAAAAAATTAAATTTATTTACTTCAACACTACCTTAACACGTTTAATGTACTCATAAATACTCTTAAATTTACTATTCCTCGGTAACTACATCATCGAAAATACTTTTTATAGTTAATTAATGAAAATTATCAAAAAAAACAGCAGTATATAACAAAATTTGTATATGATTATTGAAATCTTTGAAAGCTCATAACTTTTAAACTAGACTTCGCCGACAAAAATTTTTTATATATTCTTAGTCGGTATGAAAAACTAAATTGATTTTAAAAAAAAAATTTGAAAAATCTCGATGGGGTGGTAAAATGCATTTAAGCCTAATTATTTATAAAACAATTTAATCATTACCATTTAAAAATATATTTATAACATTATTATTGACCCTCCCCATAAAGCATTATTGTTTGTGTAATTACTACTATTAGTACTAATAAGCAAATAAAGTATATAATATAATTAGTGAATTTAACAAATATAATAAAAATTAATTTTGACGAACAGTTATTAAAACATACATGATAAATAAACAGCAATTATGTTTAATTATTATAAAGTAAATATATCTTGAATAATATCTATATTGTTGGTAATTTATTGAAATTTTAGATATTTTAATAAATGTACTTACAACTGGTATAAGTCTGCTGAATGTTCAACAGCAAACAATCTTTATTGTACTGCATTTAATAACTATTGAAAATTGTATAGGATTATATTAAAACAAATGGCATCACCATATATAATTTAATGTACATTTCATGAAACATTGAATCCATGCTAATATAATTAGTTAGTCCTTATACATCAGAAGAAAGAAAATTATTTTTATTAAAATGTATTAAATAACTTCAATTTACTAAGAAAATTGCAATGTGTTTTAAAAGTAATTTGTTTCCATGGTAATTGTAACTTTCAATAATCAAGAATACATTACTATTATAACATTAACGATAGGCCAGTAATTATATTTTAAAAATCATTGATGTTTGATAGCAAAGACAATAATGTAATACTAGTGTCATTAATCTTCTATCACTTTTATTATGTTCTTTAGTCATTTAATTTTTAAAAGAAAGTTTGAAAAGACATTTATAAAACAAAATTCACTACACTACTGTTATAATTCAAAAATATAAATAAAATCGGTAAAAAGTTGGTAAAATATAAATGATGAAAATGAGCGATGGGTATAGTGAGAANAAGAAAAGGCAAAAGTTGACTTTCAAGTTCTTTTATCAATTTTATAAAACATTTTCGGAAGAAAAAATGTAAACCATTACAGAAAGGGCCAATTATATTATAAAAAAATTCATGTTATAATATTAGGTATGTATCAGATTTGGATAATGTCACAAAAATTAATCACTATGTTTCTAATAATTTTGCAATGTCCAAACTTTTTTATTCAAATATTACTAAAATGAAAAACTTTAATTGTACCTCATTGAATATATTATAATAATATATACATTATTTTCAAAATGTTTTATTTGATGTAATTTTATTTGAACCAAATGGTTTAAAAAGTAATAACTTTTAATACAATTTAATCATTACCATTGAATAATTGATTTGTAACATTATTTTTGACCTCCCTGTATATTTTATTGTTTGGTAAGCACTACTAAAATGCGAAATAAATTATAGAACAAAAATTAGTGAGTTTAACAAATAAAATAAAATGAAACAAAACATAATTAATAAACAGTTTTAATTATTTAAGCTCAAAGTAAACATCTACTTATGGTTTCAAACAAATTTCACTAATGTAATATTACTTAAATAAAATGTTATATTTGTTTAATGACCCCATTTTTTCTGGATAATGTTTAATTATTAAAAAGTAAAAAAACCTTGATAAAAATTTATATTGAAGGTAATTTATTGAAATTTAAGCTATTTAAAAATAATATTTGAATAAATGTACTTACGACTGCGATCAGTCTGAAAACTAAACAGGAAGTAATGTTCATCATACTGCATTTTATTATTGAAAATTGTATTTGATTTCCAAAAGAAATTACATCACCGTACATAGTTTAAAATTGTTTTTTCATAACACATTAATTGTAAATTCAATTATTGTTTAGATATATGATAAATAATACAAGTACAAATTCAATTAATAATTATCATTATAATAAACATAAATTTATAATAAACATAAAGATAGAAACTACAGTTTATCATTAAGTATTGAATAACTAATTTACTAAGAATATGTCTATGTGTATTTGTTTCCATGGTAAATTTAACACCTATTAAATTAACAACTAGCCAGTAGGTATTATTTAAAAATTATTAATATTTTATAGTAAAGAGAGCATTTATATAACTTATGTTTTCAAACTTTAACTGTTTCTGTGTATTTTTTTATCGATGTTTATAAAGTAATAAAATAAAAAGGATAAACAAAATACAGTTTTTTTCTTTTTTTCTGACTAACCACGTAGGGTAATTTTTTTTTCCCCAATCAGTTATTCAATATAAGATTTATATGTTTGTAATCTATCAATTAAAAGATTAAATATATATATTTTTTATAGCCATTAAACTATAAATCCTAATTTAAAATTGTTTATCTACCACATAATTAATTAGCATCGAAACTAATCAATAACATTTTACAAATTTTGCATGAGACAATTAAACCATTGCAAAGTATTTGAAATATTAGTCCGTAATCTGTGATTATATAGTTTATTTATATGAAACACAATGTGATTATTTATATGTAGTTTTATGTAAAAAATTCTATACATTAAATATAGATTCTTTGTACAAAAAAATATATAAAAAATAACGAATAACCACTTATCAGCTTTAAAATAAAAGTCATAAATATAAATATATTTAACTTTAAACCAATTACACAATTTTGTTTTCTAAAATTACAAAAGTTAAATACAAGTAATTTTAATATTGAATATTCACTAACCTGTACTCTTTAAATGGGTCAGATACGTCTTGGGTTTAATTCCAAGAAACAAAATTATTCTTGTGATTTTCTCATCAGTGGTGTCTGTGTTCTTTGATGCAAGCTGGCCATAAAACCATTAAATAAATCATTTAATATTGTTGAAAATATATTTTGGGTACCATCCTAGTGTGCAAAAATCGATTTAAATAATATTCAATAAACATTTTTATATCCATCGTACCTAATGAACATAACATGCATCCATAAGGGATAGTTATTATTTAAGTTTTACATTTAATTTACTAGAAACAGTGAAACTTGTTGCATAACACATACTTTGATCCCAAATAATCAGATCAAATCACAAACAAAAAAATCTCATAGGAGTGTACCACAAAAAAATTGTGCTTCGAGTGTAAAGTTTGGAAAAACTATAGAAAACCAGTTGGATATAATTACCACATCAATAGATTTCCGTTTGGCGCAGTGATGTGAAAAATTATTCTATAAATAAACCTATAACCTTTCTCGCATTGAAAATAGCTGACAATGAACAATATGATGTAGAATATGATATGAGAAAATGGTATAATGCAATATTTAGACCAAACATACCATCCGATATATAATGGCCACATAAGGTGGGAAAACGGTCTTAATAGAAAAGTATAACTAAAAAGGTTGATACTCGCAAATAATTTCGATTCCCTAAAAATAATTATTGGCATCATTTAATTTTTTTAATACTCATTAAAGAAGTTAACTTCAATTTTTCGGATTTAAGTGATTTAAATATATATAATCTGTTTTCAGACAAAAAGGGAACTTCCTCTAAAGATCCTTGGGCCTACACTTATCAAACTTGCTTAGAAATAATTAATAGTCAAAATGATTGGGTATATAATAAAGAACAGATTATAAAAATGTAATTGGAGAATATTACCTCATCACTGTTGATAGTTCTTTAACTTACGAATTTATATCTTTTGGTCCATGCACAACTTTCACAGAGTGCATTAATCAATAAAAAAAAACTTTTTTATCCTAAACAATTTGAATACATTTCATATTGGTATACTTTGGTTCTCGGAGAGACAAAAGATAATTTTTACAAAATATAAANCCTGAGAGACTTATGTATTAATCAATATGTACTTTTAATTTAATATTGTTTAAAATTAGGGTAACACCTCTGAATGGGATTTATTTTAAATTTCCATTATTTGAGGCTATATAATAATTTTCCAAAAATATTTGCAGACAACTAAAATTTATTTAATATTTTGTAAAATTTTTTTATAGAAAAATATTATATCTCCAAAAAAAGTCTCTTTTTACTAAGAGTTTAACTATTGGATAAAATATCTTTTTTTTTCTAAAATTAATATTGAAAGTAATTAGGCAAGACTTAGGTTTGAACAAAACATATTCCGACTCATATAGCCAAATGGAGAAATATCTTCAAGAAAAAGTACCTTTTGATACGTTTGAAGAATTATCGTCTCGAGGACACAGTAAAAATCTTTTTATATATTTTAATTTATAGATATATATTATATCATATTATAAATATTATATTTAAATCTCAAAATAAAATTATAACGTAAATAAAACTAATTCGTATTTTTCGGAGAATATTCAGAAAAATAATTAAATATTTTTTTTGAAACTCGTATTAATGAATATAGGAAGAATATAATACATAATACTAGCTTTTAAGTCGAATGAAAATATTAAAATATTATGTTAAATTTATAAATAAATAAATAAATTCGTTTATACATTGCTGAAATTTAGAAAAAATTGAAAAGATATAATTTTAATGTATGCAATCAGTGAAATCACTACTTTGCAATTAAACACTAAGCTTCGATATTTAGTCGTTCAGAATGTTATGAAAAAGTCTAAATCTATTCCTCATGATATATGATGAACCGTTTCCTTTTATGGATATGTCTTCCACAGTATTTAAAAGAACGACATTTCGAAGGCTCAGTAAGTAAAACATTCTATTTATTAGTAGTTAAACATGTTTTACCATATATTAATTTGACTGGATCGGCCATAATAAATATTTTCATAAAATAATATACTTCTATACTAAAAATTCAAAATTTCAGAAGAACTTATTGACAACTTCTTTTATAATAAAGGTATAATCTTCTAAACTATTTTTACAAATAAGGATGGACTGAGAGATATTCAACCTACTTTATTGTAATAAAATAATAATTATCTTCTACTACATTAATAATAGTACTTCAAAAGGTTTTTAGCTATGTCCTTTAAGACATTGGAAGATTATCATGAAAACCGTATACTTTGGAAATTTTAAAATATTTAAAAAGTTATCTATGAATTTTAGTGAAACATCTTCATTAACAAAACAACAAGCTTGTTGATTTTTATTAGTATTTGATTGGTTGTACAATTCACAATCAGAACTATTTGATAAAGAGACATCTAAAAATAATATTAAACAATTAAATAAGTTTTAATATTTATTTCTACTTAATTTAATGAAAAACAATGTTCCATAAAATTTAGATTATTCTAGTTAGTATGTAGTAGAATTATATAGGATAATTAAAGGTATTTAAAATAATGTTAAAAAAACTGTTTATAATACAATGAAAAAAAAAATTATATTATTTTTAATGTAATAAATACTAACAATTTATATTATTCTTAATCATTGTTATTAGTGTTTTACATCCACTCTTATAAGCTATGGTTTTATAAGAGAACACAAGGAAATCTACATAGCCCAGCCACAACAAAATTGCACACTGTTACTTATACACAAAGACACAATTTGTTACTGACAGGATTAAGTAATCCACCGTATATTATTATCATCATTACTTATTAAGACTGTAATATGCCTACAAGATAAAATTTCTTCTCAATTGAATTTTACTATTGTTCTAAGTAATTAATTTATTCCATTGAACTAATTTTAAATAAAATAATACATTTTGGTTACCATTCTAAATCTTACCACTTAAGAAAATAGCAGGTTGTTGTCCAATTTTAAGTCCATTAGATTCATTCTAAATGTTTTCAACCAAATCTTTTATTTCTAGTTAAAAATAAAAAAAAATTATTCATGTGAATCAAATATTAAGAATTTTGATTTTCATACAATTACTCAGAGCTTTTTAATACACCATAATACTATTATTAATCGAGGAGATTACAATGATCAGATTTTATTTTTTATTTAATTGTTTAAAATCATGTGCATAGCTATCATGATCTCTTTTTGATGGGTTAGGAAATATGGACATTTTAAATTCTACAAAATAAATTTTACATAATATAATTTGTATATTTAGTGCTATAGTACAAAATAATGTTAGAACTAACTTAAAACATAGAGTACTAAATACTAAATTTATTAAAACATTAAGATAATTTAGATATATTGTCCTAACACAGAACAGAACAGTAAGATGTAATGTGTACAAAGATGAAGATGAGGATGTGGTGCCTGCTGTCTAGGTAATCACGTGCGTGTTATTGTAGAGCAGTCACCGTGCTCAGCTGACACTCTGGGTGTCGAAAAGCTGTTGTTATTACAATATATTAAGCCATACATTTTATGAATTTAGAAATATAGTGAAACAAATATATGAGAAGGTTGACAACAGCAAAGTAACATAGCAAATTATTAAGTGAATTATTTAAATATATTTTTTCCTAGCAACGTTTCAATTATATACTTATTATCACTGTAGCAATCACTATAGTTGTAATTCTATTTTAAAAGCAATATTAAAAGGAGCTTACATATATGTAAAGATAAATTTTTATAAAAATGTTATAAGAGATATATAGACCAAATTATTAAATGTGGAAGATTTTTGAGGAGATAGGAACGATTATTGAAATAGAAAAGTATTATGAGATAGTAAAGAACAAAAAAGAGGGAAAAGAGGTTGCAAGGGTTAACATAGAAGATTCTAATGAGCCAAGTAATCCTGAAATTGGTATTGATGTGGATAAACCAGAATCTGTTGTACCATTGAGTGTAAATATGAAACTAATAAGAATTATTAACAAACCTGTTAAATTTAAGTACTTTGGGTGATTTTGTTATTATGTATTTTTAATATGTTATTTATTTTGTCTTACTTATCTTAATTAATTTAAGTTTACTAATTTTTATGAAGATTATTATGAAAATATTTTGAGTTTCCAGAATTTAAAATTAATTTTTATGTTAAATGCAATTAGTATATTTTAAATTATTTTCTTACTTAGGGTAGAAAAGTGTGATATACATTATCTCAAGTGTATTATAATATCATTCGCACTTAACGTTAACATAAAGGGTTATGTTTATTTTGCTATGTACTTAAAACAGTGATTCTGACAGTTCAATGAATAACATTTGACAGATTAATAAATAAATTTAATAAGCAGTCAAATTTTATTTATTTACTTTTACACTGCTCGAATATTACATACTAGATACCATGAGCATGAGATTATAATGGACTTTAATATCAATACTCACTAAAACTTTAATAAATTTNGTGACGTGTTCACTTAATATTTATATATCAATGAAAAGCTTATAAAATTTGCTATCGAACCACGTAGATCTCAAGGGGTACTCGAGTGTCCAAGTAACCCGTATTAGAGAAATTGCTAGTCAAAATTTGCGGTAGTAAACAATATATATTCTCAAACTGGCGGTGGTTTTTTGTACTTTTGAAAAAGTTCCGAGGCGTGTTCACTTAATAATTATATATCAATGAAAAGCTTATAAAATTTCCTATCGAACCACGTAGATCTCAAGGGGTACTCGAGTGTCCAAGTAACCCGTATTAGAGAAATTGCTAGTCAAAATTTGCGGTAGTAAACAATATATATTCTCAAACTGGCGGTGGTTTTTTGTACTTTTGAAAAAGTTCCTAGACGTGTTCACTTAATATTTATATATCAATGAAAAGCTTATAAAATGTCCTATCGAATCACGTAGATCCCAAGAGGTACTCGAGTGTCCAAGTAACCCGTATTAGAGAAATTTCTAGTCAAAATTTGAGGTAGTAAACAATATTTATTCTCAAACTGGCGGTGGTTTTTTGTACTTTTGAAAAAGTTCCGAGGCGTGTTCACTTAATAATTATATATCAATGAAAAGCTTATAAAATTTCCTATCGAATCACGTAGATCTCAAGGGGTACTCGAGTGTCCAAGTAACCCGTATTAGAGAAATTGCTAGTCAAAATTTGCGGTAGTAAACAATATATATTCTCAAACTGGCGGTGGTTTTTTGTACTTTTGAAAAAGTTCCGAGGCGTGTTCACTTAATAATTATATATCAATGAAAAGCTTATAAAATGTCCTATCGAACCACGTAGATCTCAAGGGGTACTGGAGTGTCCAAGTAACCCGTATTAGAGAAATTGCTAGTCAAAATATGCGGTAGTAGACAATATATATTCTCAAACTGGCGGTGGTTTTTTGTACTTTTGAAAAAGTTCCGAGGCGTGTTCACTTAATAATTATATATCAATGAAAAGCTTATAAAATTTCCTATCGAACCACGTAGATCTCAAGGGGTACTGGAGTGTCCAAGTAACCCGTATTAGAGAAATTGCTAGTCAAAATATGCGGTAGTAGACAATATATATTCTCAAACTGGCGGTGGTTTTTTGTACTTTTGAAAAAGTTCCGAGGCGTGTTCACTTAATAATTATATATCACTGAAAAGCTTATAAAATTTTCCGACCTTCGCCAATAATTTTCCCGGAGTCTGGTGACCGAGTACTTTCGTTGAATAAAAAATTTTTGAAAATCCGAGCACGCTAAGTAATTTTCCCAGAAAAGCGTTTTTTTCCTTGTTCTATTATATAATAAGATATAATAGGACGCGTACATGTGTATTATTAGCAAACAGAAAAATCGTCATTTTCCGTTAAAATTTGATGAATTTCAAACGCTCGTAGCGGCCAGAGTTTTTGTCGGATCTGGGATTTTCCGATTTTTGGCGCTTCCTCGACATGTACAGAACGCCGTGGTATGATTGCAAATCGTAAAAAAAATCGTTTTCATGTCGTAAAGTGTCGCAAGAATTTC